CCATCGAGCTGAAGGAACGACCGTTGGATTCCGTACTGACCAAAATTATCCTTATCAACCTTGCCGCTGAATACTTTGCGACTGTGCAAATGCAGGGTACGTACAGAAGTCTTTCAGGTCATACATAAGCTAACGTGAATAGCCGACGATTCGCCTGCAAATATCATGCGTACATATTTCTACTACCTGCGACTTAACGTCAAGACATTCTTTATTCTCCTCCAAGTACTCCAGCCGGAACTCGATCGTCTGTCTGAAGGCGACGATGTCAGGCATCAAAACGGCGACCGCACCACGCAGCTCTCAGATAAGATTACCGCCGTTGCTCGCCGCATTCTTCCAGGCCTCCGCTTGTACAGCACGTGGTTCTCTCGTTATTGGCAGGTGCTCAACGCAAACATCGCCAACACCCTGACTACAGTCGATGTTCAGGAACTGTGGAAGGCATACGCTGCAACATTGACTCTTTTGGCGTCGAGCTTTCCCGTAGATAAACTCCCTGGAGACAGCTACATGCTCGAAGAAGATACCGAAACCATCGGTTTTCAGCCATTGATCTCTCCAGACACAATGAAGGTCTGGTATGATGGCGACACCTTGAAACAGAAATGGACCGATCTAGAGCGCAACCATCCCAACGTTGAGATGCTTATGCGAGTCAGAGATCTACTGATCGACGGCCTTCATTTGACGCAGAACGCAAATGCCCCTTTAGACCTGGATGGCACACGATTTATCTATCGTGAAGAAGGTCTACCATCCGAGCTTCTGGCGAGCCCAACTAACCAGTCTCATGGTTCTCCTGTACTTCCCGTACCGACAGCGGACATGCCTTTGTTCCCCTCAGAGAACCCGATACCTGACGATCAAAAGTCGCATAGCGTTGCGGCAGCCTCTGATTCTGCATCTACTACCTTGGCTAAGGACAATGCGATGCATCGCATGGTGGATGACTTGGTCGGAGCTGACGATGGATTAGACCCGCTGGTCGAGGAAGATGAGAATATCCCACCGACTCCACCAGAGCAGACGTTCGAGGATACTGCTGTTGTCAACGACAACCTTTATGCACCGGCCCCATTCTCTATCAGCGACTTGGTCAACTCTGTGAAGAACTACAAGCCTTTGTCTCCTGCTCCAGGTGCAGCGATGCTATCTACTCCAATGGGCAGAACTGGATCTACCTCCTCCATTCGCCAAGCGCCTAATCTGCCTTCCCTTCCAGATGGCCAATGGAACTCGCCTTCGATCTGGAATCGCCAGTACAATGGCACACCAGGACCTTCATCTCCCTCCATGATGAATGGCAACGGATATGGTAGTGACTTGCAAAGGTCACCCATGAATGGTATGAGCCCCGGAATGTCTGGTCACGTCCGCGGAGACTCAGCAAACTCGCTCCTAGGCGCAGAGACCTTGACTCCCAGCACCGCCCGCGCTCCACGGCCCATCAGTGGTGGTCTGGGCAACGGCGCAGCCTGGGGCAATCCATCTGGAAGTCCCTCGAACTGGGGCTCCGTGTATGGCAGCAGTTTCAACGGCAACCAGTACGGATACAAGAACGGCCCTGGCATGGCGAGCCCCATGCTTTTTAGCTCGTACCAGGATAATGCCCATAGTTCCTGGGGACGTACTCCATCTAACGGCCAAGGCGGTTGATCGACGGCAATGCAACCTTGCTTGGTTGCTTCATCCTTTGTACTGCCATTGATCGCTATTGTCGCAAGACATCCTTCCATCCCACCGAGCTGTCACAGCACGCCTACGATGAACTAGTGGTATGTGGTCTTGCCTCAACGGTCACTCCGTCGTCAGCTTATTATGCCTTTACGGCGATACGAGCAGGGCGTATGTAGGGGGTTGAGTTTTGCGCTCATGTTATTTCACAGCTCTCTCTCTCTCTCTCTCTCTTGCGTCCCCATGCCTCTCAGGGCGCTAGGGGAACAAAAGAGGAGAAGGGGCTGACCACCCAAATTGCAGCAGAGATTGGGGAGACGCGGATTATTGCTTGGATTTACTTTGACTTCGTATAGATGTGCCGGTGGTTTTCTTCAATAGGCTGACAGTATCATCCGCCATAGCATCCTCACTCAATGCCGAGGATGTATATACGTGGCTATACTGCATTGCTTGGAGAACACTCGGATCATTAGTTATTACCTCTACTTCACTTCCATATTTTCAATGACATTGAGTTCTGCGTTCACCATGCACCTTCTAGCCTCGATGAAGTGATGGCCTTGAATTTGTTCCCTGTCTATCATCCAAGAGTATATCTCATATCATACGATGCTCCATCCCACGCTAATTTCATCATCCACAAACGCCATCTAAATGCAACAAACAACACTCCCATGCACCGCACCGCAACCAAGCAGACAAACTGACCCATCTCGCCCGCTCATTCCTCCTCCCCTTCATCATCCTGGTCCTCCTCCTCGCCCTCAAGATCCGTCCTCTCAACGATAAGATTCCCACTCCGTCCAATCCTCTCCTTAATCGTGCCTCCCTTAGCCAACTCAAAAACCTCTCTCGGAATAGGCGAAACAAGCTGGAATTTATATTCATGCTCGAAACCACTCTCTGGTTCCTGCATGCCCTTCTCCTCAAGATTACTACCGTCCTCCTGGAGGACATCGTAGCACTCGACAAAGGCATACAACTCCTCAATGTGCGCGTCAGCCGCGAATCTGCGCACCACGCGCTCGGCATTGGGCATGCGGAGACTGATGCGCACGATGTCCTTGACGTCGGCAGGGGGCTCGCGCGGGATGCTCGCAGCGCGCCATTTGCGCCACTGTGCGAGATTCAACGCATAGCGCTCCGCGGCTGCTTCGCGCTCTAATGCTTCTTTTTCCTCTCTGGCCTTGCGCTCTGCTTCTTCCTTCTTCTTCCGCGCGCGCTCCCGGTCCGTTGCGAGACTCCGTTCATACGCGCTGTCCTGCTGCTGTCTTATATTCCGTGTCGCTTGTTGTTCTGCGCGCTGAGACCGGACGCGCTCGAGCGGCGCGGCGTGTTGTTGCATTGCCGTCCTCAGTTTCGAAATATACTGTGCGGGGGGTGTAGGGCCAGCTACCCGCGCGGCAATGCCCATTGCTGTGCTGGAGACCTGCGGCGTGTGCACGATAAGGCCTGTGAAGGGGAATTTCGTACATGTCAATGCGGAGGCGACTTGGTAGGCTTCTGCGTCCTGGACGTTGCCGGCCCAGAGGATGATGTTGTTTGCTGGGTCGCGGATGAAGGCTACGACGTCGGGGGCGAGCAACGTGTCGCGGATGAAACTGGCTGTTTCGTCGTGCTCAGGACTGATGAGGACGACTAGGAGGAACTGGAGGTTCTTCTTCGCCAGATCAAATGCTTGGGCGTAGCCGCTCTCGAAGAAGGGCAAGGAATGACTGCCGTACTCCTCTTCAAACTCGCGGATGAACCGCGCTGCTGTATCCCGCGGGTTCAGCGGCCGCCTCCCACTCGCGCTCCGCCGCGACGCTGGCGTGTTGATATTGCTCGCTGTGACACGCCCCCACGCCCTCGGAAGGAACGGAAACAGCCATCCCATGAACCGGAACCACTTGCCCACCAGCGAATATACGAGCGAAAACGGCGCGAACAGTACCGCGAGAACGAGCGGGACTTGCGTGCTGACCTGGCTCTCTGGTTGCGGGACGACTCTCGGCGCGGGTTCTATGCGCACTCTCCTTGCGCTGCTGGTCGAGGATCGCGGGGATGTGGTGAAGCCGTTTAGCAGCGTTTCTTGCCGCCGGATGTCTTGCGGTGCGGGTTGTGCGGCGGCGGCGGCAGCGGCAGCGACGGGGTCTTCAGCGGGTTCGCCGTCGAAGAAGCGGGTAATTGCTATTTGAGCGTTCCACTGGCATCTCTGTAGTAGAGGTATCGCCTTGTCAATCTCTTGATCCGTAACAGCTGTGAATGTCTGGAGGGCGAGTTGTTGATCTTCCGTGAGAGCTGCGATGTCTACGCCCGACTCGGCCATGTTTGGCGACGTATTACTTTGGTAGTATTGTGAATTGTAGTTGAGTGCTTGAGTTTCGAATTGGAGGGGTATGGCTCGGAAAGGACTGTGGGTAGAGGGTGCTGCAGGTGGAAGGCGAATATTTAAGACAATGTGTTGCCTGGCCTTAACGGCGATGATGTACTTTGGGTGGTCGGAGCTCCTCCCCATGGTTTGGAAAGGTGAGGCTAATTCTCGGCATTGCCACGCGACACTAACACCCGAAGGTAACACGATTCATGGAACTAATCCGTGGGAATTCTCGCAAGCAGTCAAAGATGTGATTTGGTATGTCCTGAGAGCCCGGCCGCATCCAGGAAGATAAATGAGGAAAAAAGTGATAGTCAAGCATGTCCCTTTTCCAACCATCCGATGTTCTATAGAACATTAGTCTATAACATAAAGTACAATTGAAAACACCTCTTCGCACTGGCTACTTCCTCAAGCTCTCCTAGACCTTACCGGCTTAAATTAATCTGCCCTATCAACCACAAGCATAGCTATAATTCCACCATCAAAACCATCTCATGTCACTCCCAAAGCCGAGATCAAGCGCCACAGATGCACAACACCGTTCGTGACACTTCAAGACAAGTCCTCGGGTTCTCCGAAAAGTATAGGCTTTTCCCTCACTTTCTACGCATTGCATATCCACAAGCCAATAAGGACGTTCTTTTTTGTTTGGTAGTAAGCTTCACTTCAGCCCAGTGATCACATAGGTAAGTAATCACAGTACTGTATGCATCTGCGCCGTGTTTTCGGGTACCCTGAGTACCACCGTAGTTCTTCCAATCAACTGGCCCCTGGCCCCTGGCTGCCCCACGGCCCACGCCACATTCTTTCATCCGATCTCGCTCTAACTCCCCTCTCCCATCCCCCACCTAGCAACCCGGCCCGAAATCCCAACGCGCACACACTGGCTTATTTCCCCTTATTACACTATGAATATAGATCAAATAATTCCAGAATTTGCCATCTCAAGATATCAGATCGAGCCAGCTTGGCGCAGTGGTAACGTACGTCCACTCTGAAACCTCCACATCTTGAACCCTCATTCTAACGAATCTTCAGGCGTCGCACTTGTAGCACAAAACGTCTAGACATGCGAAGATCGCTCGTTCGATTCGGGCAGTTGGCAAACTTCATGTTCTTTTTTTGTGGTGGCTTTGTCCCTAGGAACGTGCCCGGTCATTACTAATTTTTCCTTATTTTTTTTCCCTGGTAAGCTTCGGGTGGTTCGCATGTGTTGTTGCGCTGGTGATAATTCTATCAACACATTTTAGGAATCAGAAATCCCAACCCGAATGAGAATGGCAACGTCACAAGCACACTAAAACAAATATGCACTGTTTGAATCTTGATATCGTTTCATGCTAATTAACCCTAATCATAAAGCGTGCGGCGGAGGGTACTTATTTGTTACCGTGGCTGTTGAAAGGCCACTCACTACCCAACTTGTACTTTACGCCAAAACACCAGGGCCATGCTTTGGTAACTTCCCGCCACAAACCTTCACTTCACGTGGCTCATCAGCCTCCTCATCCCAGACGAACGAATGAATCCCTTCCGTCCTCAAGACCAGTAGGCTCTCTCTCGTAGATTGTTGAAATACACGAGCTGTTGCGCTCAATTCACAAGTTCATGGGCGCTTAGCTAGAAGTGTAGGTCTGCTTAGGGTTCGGGTACGACGGGCCGAGCTCCTGGATGCTCAACTTGGCGAGCCACTGGCCCATGTCGATGGCCTTCTCGAGCGGCTTGCCCTGGACGATACCTGCGACGAAACCGCCCGCGAACGCGTCACCGGCACCGTTGGTGTCGTTGATCTTCTCCGCGCCGATGGCATGGACGGGCACTTCCTTGACATCGACGTCGCTGCTGCCTTCCTTTGCGCTGACGGCGATGGTGGGGTCGGTGCCCTGTGTGAAGACGACTGTCCGCGACTTCTTGGAGTTCTTCTTGGGCAGCTTGGCGATCTCCTTTGCGATCTCCTTGACGTCCTTGGACGCGATGTTGTGCGACTCGGCGAAGGCGGCGGCCTCGGTCTCGTTGCCGATTAGGATGTCGACGTAGGGGAGGACTTCGTCGAGGGGGTCCTTGAAGAATTGCGAGATGAAGGGTGCGGAGAGGTTGAGGATGAAGGTCTTTCTTATGTCAGTTCGTTGCTTCTTCAGGATGTTGAAGGACGGAGTTCATACCTTGTTCTTAGCAGCAGCTTCTTCAGCCAGAGCCTTGATAGCAGGCACACAGACTGTCAAATGGAAGCCGCCGACGTAGAAGAATTGCGCATTCTCAACTTGCTTCCAGATACGCTCCGACTTCAAATGGTCCACCTTGTAGTTGTTGGCAGCGGCAAGATCGGTGCATAGGGAGCGGTTATGGCCAGTGATGACAACACCGCAGCGGCCAGTGGGGGTGTTCTCGTCGTAGAGGTATTCGGTCTTGACGCCGGCGTCGCTGGAGATCTTCTCCAGGGTCTCGCCATACTTGTCCTTGCCAATGCAGCCAAGGTAGACGACAGATTCAGGGTCGAGGATGTACTGTGTGATGTTACGTTAGCCGCAGCCACAAAAGACATAAAGCTCTAGTTTGGTGGGTAGTAAGTTCCCGAAAAGGGTCGTGACGCACAGCAGCACCTCTCGCGGTGTTTTGCGCAGCTCCACCAGCAATGAGGACGGCGTTGTAGTTCTGGATCAGGTCCTCATAGAGGCCCATGTGCTTCTCCGGGTCGGCAAGAATAGCATCGTTCGCCTTCAAGCCGTACTTCTCGAGCAACTTTTCGTCGCTAGAATCATCAGCCAAAGCTCATTACGGTACTCCCTCACTTTAAATTTCCCGAAGAACGTCTGGGGAGAGAAAGACACTTACCCGACACCCTGAATGTCCAGCAGCGGGTTCTCCAAGCACAGAAGTTCGTATTTGCCAGCCATTGTGAATGTGTTTGTGAAGTTGCGTCGTTGCTGTCGTAGAGAAGTGCAAAGGTAAAGGTTATATGTGGGGCAGAAATTCGGCGACCGAGGGGTAGTATGCTTCGCGCTAAGTCCGACACCAGCTGCCGAGAGCGGTGTGGTTGGAGGTAGTTGCAGCCGGAAAATCGATCTTGTCGAACGTGAAACGTTTGAAATGAAGGATGTCATTATGTAGGATTGTTAAACATACTCTAAGAGATGGCATCAGGTTTCTGTAGATATCTTTGGATCATCGAGGGACCGGAATGTTGCGGGGCTCTGCTCATCAGACCTCAGGCCACTTGAAATCGGGAAGCGACATATTAGAACCATTATTCGTCTGATTCTTACGAGTTGCAAGAATATCGAAACATCTTCGGTTGAATGTGAATACGTGCTTCATTGCGTTATGGATGTGTACATCTTCTTTCTCTCCACTCCTGTTTAATCGCACCATCAAAACAACATAAGCAACTCGTGCGTCTTCCCACTTCGGCAAGGTGCTGTTTGTCTACCAAACAAACACCGCCATCCGTACACAGGCCAAGGCTAATACTGAGGTCCGTGTTGTCCGTATCGTCCCCGTGCTCTGTGTAAATCCCAAAGACCCCGAAGAAAACCATGACCATGACCATGACCATGACCATGGTCCATCTGATGCCTACCACCAGGTCCTCTTAGATGTCCATTGTAAAATGATTGTTGATATCCTCCATAAAACTGTCCTGGTTGATGCTAGCTGGGCGGACTAGAGTCGGAGGACTATTTCCCCGAACTGCGTCCCGCTCTCACCAAGTCTTGAAATGCTGACTCCAGAGCTCTTTTCACCTCGCGATAACTCACAATCAGAATGTTTTGCTCGTCTCTGCTGATGAGAGCAATCTTTTCATCTGTACCAGCGTCCAGTTTGTTGAGACAATCGAGCACGTGTGCTAGATCTGTGACCGGGTGTCCGTTGGCATCTACTTGATGGAACACGTAGTCGCGGAAGAGCTTAAGGTAGTAGCGCTCGCCCGTTTCAGCCCATGCTGAAGATGGGTTAGAGGTGGTATTTCCGGGTATGGTCTGCGATGCATCAAGCTCTGGACGCTCGTTTATCATGTTAAGTTTGACAAGTAGACGAACGATTCTTGAAGACTCCAACTCACGCCCGAGAGTGTTGGTGAGGGTATCCTGAGCGTGTAGCTCGCTATCGAACACGGATGCAAACTGATCTGCGATTCCAGCTAAGAACGTATCAATGTCTTTGTGCATGGCCCCTGGTGTTGTAGGTGACGAAGGTGTTCCAGAGGGATTCTGCGGGTTCAGCAGCCACTGTATACATTCCTTGAGACGGCCCGTATAGCTGCGCGTAATGTAGTCCATGGACTTTTGCATCTGCAGGTGGGCGGTAGCATTGCTATTGGCGATGCAAAGTATCAACCGGCCTAGTTGAACAAAGTCGTCCGCCTGTAGTTCGGCTACAGACCGTGCGTTCTCGAATTGCACAATGTCCATGATGCTGCATGCATTCAGACGTATTCGGTTCTTGGAACTCAGCAATATCTTAGAAGGCGTTATTAGCCTTGCAGCTAAGCCGGACCCATGTATAGCCTTCAATGCAGATGCAAGCTGAACAAGGTATCCCCATAAAACTTGCTCTGGTACATGCGATGATGTAGGTTGTCTCCCGTGAAAGCGTTGCATTGGCTTAAAATGCTCGTCTGCGAGAGATTTAGAGTTGGGATGGTAGTCAGTAACCAAGATAAGCGAGCTGTCACCGAAGGCTCTGGTAGTGAAGGCCTCATGCGTCGTCACGACGCTGCCGTTGAGGATGCGCTTCCAGGGTTGAGCCGAGCGGATAGCAGTCTCACTTGTCAACCGGAAGTTTTCCAGGCGACGCAGCGCATAAGTCTTTCCATCTTTGCTGGAGATTGCTTTGTAGATCCAGCTAGCGTAGCCGAATGGTGCAGTGTTCTTTTGAGGAGTAGTGTCTAAGCAAAACAGAGAATGAAACTGCTCAATGGCCGGTAGAGACGTGTTGGGAAGAGTTTGGCGCGCTACTTCGGCCTTCTTTTGCAGGTCCTCCCTTATGACATCTGGTATGAAAAAGTCATGTGCAGTGCGCTGATAAGCGAGCAAGCCGGTAGGCTGCGGCCCGACAGGCCAGTATAAATGATATGCGGGGGTAGTCTGAAAAGCGTTGGCATTAGGGTAGTATGTTGCTGCATGATCCTGACTGTATGGATTGATTTGAGTGGCTTGGTGGCTTGCGCCAGTGATTGCAGCAATGTTCGTGGAGGTATTGAAGGGATCATAGCCAATATTCGGGTCAACCTGTGGACTGTATGTGAGCCAAGAATCATACAAAAGATGATACGATGGGATGGAGGCAACATAGGGCGGGATACAGAAATTTCCACACGTACCATTTGGCTCTCAAATGCTTGTGGTACGAACTCTTGGAAGTCTTGCGCATGCCAGTCCAGAGCTGGCTCCTTGGTGTGCAGTTGCGGGGTGCTGACAGCTAAGGAAGTCAGCATGCTGAAGGAAGTAGCGTCTGGTATGTTAGGCACTCGAAACTCACTAGAACGTTGTGATTTGGGTGTGAAGACAGCAGCGTTCGCAGCCTTGGGTGAGATTGCAGCGCTGCGAGATGATGGGGTTACGGATCCATTAGTACTTGCCTGCAGGGGAGTGAATGCTGGAGAATCGACATTGAACCGCTTTCTCGCGTTTTCATTCTGGCTCAGCTTGGTCTGGTCGTGGATGTATGGGCAGGCTAGACATGGTTAGCACAGCATTCGGCAGGTACAGAGCCGCACACTCACTGTTCTCGTACCGGCAGTGCCCGTAGATGGTTACATTGCGACAAAAAGTGTTCTTCGCTTCTGCAAAATAATAGTCAGACTCGACATGTGCATATATATTTGCAGCATCGCCTTACCGCGACCTTTTGGCCGAGGAGAAACTACTCCCCGTCGCGAATCCCCCGAAGAAGCGCCAAACGTTGTTGCCATTAATCGTGACTGACTCGCGGCTGAGCTGTTGGTAGAAGTAGTGGACGGCTGGCGCTGCTTCGACGCAGGCCGAGGGGATTGAGACGCGCTCTGCGTGGGTTTGGAGGGCTGGGATGTTGGCGGCTTGCGATCCGAGCCAGTGTCATCTGAAGAGCCGCCTCTATGCCATTTGGCATTCGACTTGTTGGTCTTGT